CTTTCAGTATTAAAGTTCAAACCCCTTGTTTGCTCTTACAGCCCTTTGCACACTGGCCTACATTTCCAGCCTTTTCTTGATTTGCCTGAATCTGCAGGTTTATTGAGATTGGTCACTTTATGGGTTTTACCCAAGTCTAGGACCTTTGTAGAACTGCACATTTTTAAATAATATTCCTAAACTCCAGCACTCTCTCCTCTCTACCAGTGTAGATTCTTGTTTCCCAAAACAATACACTCTACAGTGATCTCTCCCTACACTGGCAATTACAGTCCTCTCCCAACTTACACTTGTCTGGTGAGCAACCCATAGGCACAGAGGCACTGGGGGGAGGCGTCAAAGTCTGGCTTTTCCCCCCTCACAGTCGCAATCGATCTCATTTTCTAAATTCTGAAATGTTGTGGGCTAACGCCCGTGGAGAAATTTATTCTGTTTCATAAATATGAAAATGTACGGAGTTAACAAAGATTCATGGCTTAAATCAATGGATGACAAAGTTAATTTTGTAATGAAGTCATATAGGAGCCTGTAAACATAAGAGTCCTCAGGTCCTTCAAACACCCTGCTGCGGTGGATGTGGGTTATAATCTCTTAATCATTCTCCATAAGGTGATACACAAAGGGGCATTATTTTGTTCTTGTTTTATATGAACCCTCTGTAGCATTGGACATCATTGACCATCCCCCAATTGACATCCTCTTTCCTTCTAACAGGCCCTTCCCCGTGTTTTCTTCCTCTGTTTCCTCATTAAACGTTACCCTTTAAATGGCCCTCTCTCTTTCTCAATATACACAGTTGCCTGCACCTAATTCATTCTTTCTTATATGCCCATTATTTAAAGCTATCTTAGAACTTTGCACTGTGCTCCAAACACATATATACCTCGTAGTCTTCAATTTGGGGGTCATCCACAGATGGAACAAACACAAGACAGATCATGCCCCAAATTGGGTTTCTCATTTCCATCTCTGTCCCTGCCACTGGGCCCAGAACTGCCTCCTGTGTTCTCCGTCATGGTAACTGGTACCACCAGCCGTTCAGTCCCCGGGGCCAGACTGTGGGCATGAGCTTGCTTTGCAGTCATCTTCCCACATCGGTCAGTCACCTCATCTAGTTCATTTTATCCATTTAACATCTCTAGGATCTCTTGCTCCCATGTTGGCTTTTCCATGGATAACTAGCTATGTGTCAACGATAAGAAATGTGCGTCAGACTTATTGATGTTTGCTTGGAATGCCTGACTTCCCTCTGTCCCCACCTCACTTAATGGCACACGTTCAAATATCTCCTCTAGGAAGCTTTCCCAGTCTGGGTTAGATGTCCCTCTACTGTACCACCTCTGTCATAGCACTTACTACACTCTTTTACAATGTGGACTTCTTGTGGCTTTTTCCTACTGGACCTTAACCTTCTGAGGGCAGAGACCAAGTCCTAGGACATTTGTGTCCTAGAAACAGCATAGGGTCTACTGTGTAATATACTCTTAAATGTTAGTTGGATGGATGCATGAATAAATTAGCCTCTAGTCCAAATAGAAAAAGATGTTTAAATAACTTAGCCTTATAATTAAAATAATGCATAGACTTTATATAATATTTAGAAAAAAACAAAAAAGCAAAAGGGAAATTAAAATCTCATACTTTTGTTACTCAAAGCTAACTATATTTTTATTTTTGTGGCCTCTTGGCCTTTTTTCTATGCATGGATTAATGCAATAATTAAGCATACATACTTATACACTATTTTATAAATTTCTTTTAGTTAAGATTGTCTTTCTCTGTCCTTATTCTATCTGCCTGCATTTAGCGAACATACTGTATATTACTTTTGTAACGGGAAGTAAAATAAAAAAGAAAATTGATTATCCTGTGAAACTCACTTGGCAATCGGAAGAAATCTGA